CTTTGCCAGGTCGAGGTTCCCAGGGGCGACTGTACTTCCCCAGAGTTGTTCTCCTGCGGGGCAATTTGCCCTCTTTGGGGCAGAGGAGACACCTCCTTTCCTTTTACATGCAGACTCCCTCCCCCTTTCCTCCCTCCCGGAGGGTTTTTCCCTGTGGGTTCAGTCTGTCCCGGCCTGACAGTCCTGTGTCTGGCAGTTGTATTTTTCCGGCTGTGGGTGGGTTTTCTCAGGAAGGAGTGTTTATCTTTTCCAAGTACGATCCTCCCTGCTTTCTCTTTTAATTATTTCCCGCCCCCCCCCTCTTTTTTTTTTTTTTTAATCTTATTTTTGGCCTGCCCATCGGGCCGCCTCCCACGTCCTTTAACTCCTCCTCTCCTTCCCAGGAATCTCAGCCTTCCCCGCTGGCTCTGCTGGCAGCCACCTGCAGCAGGATCGAGTCTCCCAACGAGAATTCCAACAGCTCCCAGGGCCAGCAAGGCGGGAGCGGCGAGCTGGACCTCACAGCCGCCGCCGCTCAGATCGCCCAGTCCGCTAACGGCTGGCAAATCATTTCTGCCGGCTCCAGCACGCCCACGGCCTCCAAGGAACAGGGCAGCAACGGCAGCAACGGCGGAGACGCCTCCAAAAGCCGGCCCGTGAGCGCGGGGCAGTACGTGGTCACGACCGCTTCCAACTTGCAGAACCAGCAGGTGCTCACGGGCCTGCCGGGAGTTATCCCAAATATCCAGTACCAGGTCATTCCCCAATTCCAAACCATCGATGGGCAGCAGCTCCAGTTTGCCACCACCCCAGCCCAAGTCAACGTGCAGCAGGATGCCTCTGGTCAACTCCAGATCATCCCCGGCACGAACCAGCAGATCATAACGAGCCGAGCGGGGACGAGTAACCTCATCGCCATGCCAAACCTGCTGCAGCAGGCCGTCCCCATCCAGGGTGTGGGCTTGACCAACAACACCCTCTCAGGGCAAACCCAGTACGTGGCCAACGTCCCCGTGGCTCTGAATGGCAACATCACCTTGCTGCCTGTCAACAGCGTGGCCGCCAGCCTGGCTCCCACCTCTCAGACGGTCACGTTGAGCAGCTCTGGCTCTCCGGACAGCAGCTCCCAGCCAGCCACCTCGGGCGCTGCCATCAGTTCCACCAACACGGCCACGTCTCACGCTAGTTCCGGCGCCTTTTTTACCAACGCCAACAGCTACTCCACCACCACCACCACCAGTAACATGGGCATCATGAATTTTTCCACCAGCGCGACGGTGGGAACCAACGTCCAGGCGCAGACACCCCAGAGGGTCAGCAGTGTCCAGAGCTCGGACTCTCTGCAGAGCCAAGTTTCTGGGGTGGCTTTGCAGCCGGGCCAGCAGAAAGAGGGGGATCAGAGTCAGCAATCACAGCAGCAACAGCAGATCCTGATCCAGCCACAGCTAGTCCAAGGAGGGCAGGCGATCCAAGCCCTCCAGACCACCCCGCTCTCTGGCCAGACCTTTGCCACTCAAGCCATCTCGCAGGACGCCCTGCAGAACCTGCAGCTCCAAGCTGTCCCCAACTCCGGGCCCATCATCATCCGAACGCCTACGGTGGGTCCCAACGGGCAGGTCAGCTGGCAAACCATCCAGCTCCAAAACCTGCAGGTTCAAAACCCCCAGGCCCAGACAATCACCTTGGCCCCCATGCAGGGAGTGTCGCTGGGGCAGACGGGCAGCACCAGCACCACGCTCACCCCCATTGCCTCACTCCCCAGTGGCACTGTCACTGTCAACGCTGCCCAGCTCTCCTCCATGCCCGGCCTCCAGACTATTAACCTCAGTGCCTTGGGAGCGTCTGGGATCCAGGTGCATCAGCTGCAAGGGCTGCCTCTGGCCATAGCAAACACTGCCGGTAAGTTGGTTTCTCTCGGTTCCTTTTCCGTAGCTGGGCAGAGGAAATTGAAAGCAAAACCATGTCGCCTGGCTGCACGCAGCCGGCTCCGTGCCCCGTCTGGGGGTTTGGGACGCTGGCACAGCCATGCTAGGGCTGGAGCTGGGTCTGAACGATGCCAAACAGAGTTGGCGGCCCCATGAAGGAAGTATTAAGCCTCTGCCGATGGCCAGAAGACTCTGAAGCTCATTTTGGGGACTTTCTGGTCTAATTAACTCTTGGGTGGCTGATTGTGTGAAAAGTGGAGATGCGTGGGGAGGAGAAGGGGGATGTTTGTGTGAGATGCTAAAGTGAAGCGTGGTTTTGTGCCAGGTCACTGTCCTGCCCTGACAGCTATCCGGGGCGGGGGTCTCGGGTCGGGTTTGGGGTGTGGACCTGAGTCTGGCTCAGCTCTTCGGCTGCGGAAACCCTCAGAAAGAGCCACGGATTATAAAACTCAGGAATAGCTGAAAACCCCCTGCCTTCCCCCTAGAAAACAAACAAACAAAAAAAGCCCTGGGGAATTTCCTTGCAGAGGCGGAAGAACGGGCTCTTTAAGTGTATATTTAGCCTAAAGTTGGGTGCTGGTGTGGGACGCTGTGATCTCATCGTGGCCGAGACGGCCCCGCGTTCGTGGCTGGTGCGGGGGCACCCTTCTCGCTACCCCCCCCCCCC